GCACCCAAATCCGGGCACCTGCCCACCCTGCCTTTGCGGAGAGGAAGCAGATGGGACTGAGCCTGGGAGGGGACAGAGCTGGGGAAGAGGGACATTGCCTGGTGAGCGGGGTGACACAGGCATGGGGACCCCCAGGTTGTGCCAGTGCCTGATGGTGGCCCTCAATGGGGTGGCTTTTGGATCAGGACAACTGATTGAACTTGTTCCCCCTCCCTATTCCCTGATTGCATCAAAACCTCATTAGTGTGAGGGTGATGGAGCACTAGAAGTTTATCACAAACTTAAGGAAAAACTTATTTCCTGTGAGGGTGCCAGAGCCCTGGGACAGGCTGCCCAGAGAGGGTGTGGAGTCTCCATCTCTGGAGATGTTCAAACCCACCTGGACACTTTCCTGTGCAGCCTGGTGTAGGGACCCTGCTTTGGCAGGGGGTTGGACTGGATGATCTCCTGAGGTCCCTTCCAACCCCCACCAGTCTGTGATTCTGTGTTTAGCTGTCTAACCATGTCTGTCCTTCTGTGCCCCCCAGAGCCTGCCCGAGGAGGAGCAGCAGCGGGTGCTAGGTGAGGAGAAGATGCTGGGCAGCAACCGGAAAGGGGCAACGAGTCCTGCATCCAAAAAGTCCTCACCAGAAACTGGCAAGGTGAGAGTGGCAACTGGAGAGATGGGGCAGCACGTGCCAGAGACGTGGGATGGGGTTGCTGGCATCTCAGGGTGCTTTGAGGTCTTCATTTGATTCCTTCACCATGTTTTTCCTGGGGTTGGAGGCTGCCAGTGTGGGGCAGGTCCGTCTGTGTGCTCACCCCCCACCCATGGCCCCGTGTCCCTCTTTCAGGCCAGCTCAGAGAAGCCCAAACGGCCCATCTCTGCCATGTTCATCTTCTCGGAGGAGAAGCGGAAGCAGCTGCAGGAGGAGCGGCCGGAGCTATCGGAGAGCGAGCTGACCCGGCTCCTGGCCCGCATGTGGAATGACCTCTCTGAGAAGAAGAAGGTTGGTACCATCCCTGACACTTCTTCTCCATCCCCATCTCCTCTGCTCTGTTGGGCATCTCTGGTCGTCCAGAGGATGCTGCTGGTCCTTGTCCTGCTGCAAGGGGCTCTACTCGCCCCCCCTGACACCGCAGCTCGGGGACGATTGTCCCCAGGAGCATCACAGCCCCAGTAAACCATCACCCATGAGTGCTGCCAGCTGTGCCTGCTCCCTCTTGTGAGCTAGTGGGTCAAAACCCAAAACCTTGGAGTGTACTTGAGCCTCAATTTAAAGACTTGATGATTTTCCTGTGGTGGGAGCAGGGGAGTCCTGAAACGTGGGTGTGCCTGGTGGGGGGCTGCCAGTGCTACTGTGGGGACAGCACTGGGGGAAGCTGCAGCATCCTGCTGTGTACCCTCCCAGTGCTTGGTGGCCAGGGGCTTATGCCCAGGTGACTGTGCTGCCCCTTCACCCCCACGTGTCCCCCTATGCAGGCCAAGTACAAAGCGCGGGAGGCGGCGATGAAGGCGCAGTCAGAGAAGAAACACGGCTCAGATAAAGAGGAACGCGGGAAACTGCCCGAGTCTCCCAAGACAGCTGAAGAGATCTGGCAACAGAGCGTCATCGGGGACTACCTGGCTCGTTTCAAGGTGAGGAGTGGGTTGGGAAAGGAGCTGGAAGTGGGGTCACCTCTCCCCCCAACAGGAATTGCACCCTTTCCCCTCCTTTCACACCCAAGACAAGGCGGGGAGGACGGGTCACAGCGAAGGGAGCGGGTGGTCTGAGGTCTGTGGTGGAGCTGGCGGTTACAGCCCAGCATCTTGGGTGCATCTAATGTGGTGTGGGGGTCTGTGCTGCAGAACGACCGGGGGAAGGCTCTGAAGGCCATGGAGGCCACTTGGAACAACATGGAGAAGAAGGAGAAGCTGATGTGGATCAAGAAGGCGGCGGAGGATCAGAAGCGATACGAGGTGGGTCCCTGCTCCGCCCCACCCCTGGCTGTGCCTTCGTGGTGGCACAGCTCCCATCTCCCTGACCTCTCTTTTCTCCTGTGACTCAGAGGGAGCTGAGCGAGATGCGGGCTCCTCCGTGCTCCACCAACTCTGCCAAGAAAATGAAGTTCCAGGGAGAGCCAAAGAAACCCCCCATGTGAGTATCTGGGGTCTGGAAAGTTGGATCTGACTGGTGCAAAGATCTTGGGGTGGAGGGAGCGTGGGCTGGAGCATGGTGGGGATGGATGGTGCTGGTGGACACCTTGGTTTTCCATGCACACCATCTGATCTGGTCTCTGTGCTCCCTCCTCACAGGAACGGTTACCAGAAGTTCTCCCAGGAGCTGCTGTCGAACGGGGAGCTGAACCACCTCCCGCTGAAGGAGCGGATGGTGGAGATCGGCAGCCGCTGGCAGCGCATCTCCCAGAGCCAGAAGGACCACTACAAAAAATTAGCAGAGGAGCAGCAGAAACAGTACAAGGTGCATCTCGACATCTGGCTCAAGGTGAGTGCTGAGCCCTGAGGCACAGTGGGGGGCAACTGGGGGGGCTCTGAGGTCGGTCAGTTGTTTTTGGGAACGCTTGGTGTGGTCTCTGCTCACAGCCTGCCTCTGGGAATCGCCAGCTCCAGA